TCGATGTTTTTGTGACCATCCGACGAGGCCTCTTTTTGTATTTTCATGGATGTAATATGTGAGACCCTCGGATCAATTTTTGAAAATTATCTTTTACAAATTTGGGAATTATATGGGAATTACGCGCCTTAGCAAGTGCGCTAGGAATTTAGGACGACAGTTAGGAGTTTCGAAATAAGCGGAATATGACGTGTCCTTTCTTGTGCTTGAATGTTCTCAACCTCGTCTTGGAAAGCTCTAGGAACTTTCGTAGGAATCTGAATAGGCATAAAATTTTTCTCCTGTGCTTGCTCTACCGCGCAGATATGGTACTTTTCAATTTGAAAGAGTTGTAACTGTTTTGGTGCTTTTTTTGCCTCCGCGTCGGCGCCATGCATGCAAGGCTCCCCTCCCCACTTCCCACGTTGTCTTCGACACTCTCCTCTTCGCACTCACGCTTCTTCTCTCTCTGTAACCGTTTTCCATCTCTCTCTCAACCTTGCGCATCTTTTTTCTTCTTCTTGATCGTCTGAATCTTGGTCCCGTTGCACGCTACTCTTCACGCTTTTCTTCTTCCCGCTCTAATCTCCGTGCCGAAACACCCTCTCGACCTTCTTTGATTTCCCTTAGTCAAGGAGACGCGCCGTATAAAAAGGAAATTCTTGATACACGACGATTCTGATTGGCTGCAGTTGGGAGCCAAAGAATCAGCTTTCGTCGGGCAATCCCTGAGCCCTCCCCTACTCCTCCTTGTCTAAGTTCTAACCTTTCCTAGCATCTATTTTTTTTTCCACAACTATAAATTCCGCAAGCGCTCCCGAAAATCTCTCTCTCGACTCATCTGCCCACTTCCGAGAAGCCGTGGCTAAATGGTATGAATGAAGGTGCGAGTCGAAAAGTCCCGACGAAATGGCTGTAGTATGGGTGCTCGGTATGCTGGATCGCCCGATGGATTGTGGGATCCGAGTAGGGCCGTGCCGAGGCTAAGCTGGCAGGGTGACGATCGCTACAACAGAAAATTTTTTCATAATTAAATAATTATTCTAGAGTAAAATTACATTCTAAATTTTAAATTTTCATTCCATCTTAAAAAATGTCATTCCAATTTTAAAATTTTTCGTCTTACTTAAAAACTTTCCTTCCAATAATGGGGTATCCCTTATTTTTTGAACTGCATGCTAGAGATGGAATGGAAGTCTGGATGAGTTCATGAAATATTTTAATTGGACTGTCATTCTAAATAAGGATTTCCAGTCATAAATAGGTTAATCCAATCTAAATTAGAAGATATTTGTTGTAGATGAATGAAAGTCTAATTAAAACATTTCATAAACTCGTCTAGACTTTCATTCCATCTTAAACAAATAAATGTAGTTGGAAGAGAAAACTCATATTTAGACGAAAACTTATCAAATTAAATTGGAATTTTTAGAATTAACCGAACATTGGAATAATAATTTGTAAATATGAAGGATTTTTTTTTTATGGAATGTTTTTTCAACTTTTAGTTCTTGTGGGAATTTTTCTGTTGTATGGTGGATTGGGCACGCGACGGCCGGGATCGTCGGTGCAAGTGAGATGTTCGAGGTTCGGGTCGGAAATGAGTAGGTGTATGACCTGGGGCTATGTTGGAATCTTATGGCAGAAGTGCTTCTTTTTTTGTTGTCCCTGAATTTGTATCTTCAAGTGTGAATTCCGATCACTCGGATTTTAAGTTGGAACTTTCCTGGACAAGATTGTCTGACATTTTGTGATTGCTTTCCACTCGTTTTTCCCTCCTAGTCTGCGTCCATACTCCCTCACTCCTTCTCTCTCCTCTAGTCACGCTATATCGTAATTGATGAATTATGGCAAACCTTACTTCCCTCATTCGGTATGTACATGCGATGAGTCGTATCAGAGATTTGTTATAACATGATTGTACGACTGATCAATTGAACGATCTGATTGCTTGGAATGATGTATGATTAAGATATGTTTTGAGCTTATCTTCGTTGCCATGTGGACTGATGGCCCTAATCCGACTGGGCGCCAACTTCTCGTGCCCCCGCCGCGCCCTTTCCCGTACAACGAGGAAAAGATACGTGTATGCGAGTGGGACATACGAGAAGCCGTCGCCAAGATCGGAGGGCGTTATTTCTTTCCTCCCGAAACTCGGTGTTCTGGATTTGTCGGTGCGGTTTTTGTTATCATATATACGCACTTCCCACCATATTCGTTGTTACTGCCCTTTAACGAACTAATCGTCATACTGTGGACGACAGTGGAACCTTATTGGCCTAGTACTCTGTGCAGCGATTGCCGCCTCTTCGAGCGCTACCAGGCCAAGGGATTCCACTACCGCACACGTGGCGAGGACGAGTACAAGGAAAGAGCCACTCGATTGAGGCCCTCCACGTCGGTTTCGGAATTGTGTGGCGAACGCCGACGAGACCTCATCCACAAACGGGATACGACGTGTGTACCTGCCCCTTCTCACTCGAAACGTAGAGTGACGGCTCGTCGGGAAGTTCAACGATACTTTTTGGATTGAATTTCCCATAGGTGCGAGTCCCGCGTGCGCCTTTTTCTCCCGTCAAACCCACGTGGCGACGGACCTTCTTCTTGCTCCAGTCGGACCAACACGGGGAATTTCAGTTTTGTCTGTGTCCCTGTACTCAATTTTCAAAAAATCCTTGTCACACCCCATCTTTGCTGCCTTTCCCGGGCCCCTTTCCGCAAACCATAACACTCCGACCGGAAGGTAGCACAGGGCGTGAGGTTGAGCGTCACAACCACGACCCTCCCTCACAGCCGTTTGAAGATGTCGATGCTCCATGCCGCGAATCACCGCCAACGGTAAACTCCGGAGGCTGTTGGAGGACCTCTTCGACAAGGAGGGCCCATGATGTCCGTCTTCCGGCCGCCGGACCACGGATGGACCACCGATTGCCTCCAAATTTCCTTCGAAGCTCCATGCCGCCACCCCATGATTCGCGGATGCTCGGGCTCCAAAGGACCTGACGAGGTCCCTCGGAGCCGAGGACAATTTGCTTGGGAAATCCTCGAAGCCCAAGGATTTGTCCTGTGTTCACATTTTTTCTTTCCAAAAATCGGCTCCGAGGAGAGGTGGAATGGCGATGAAGTCCTTGGAGTCGTGTCCCCGAGGAGTGTCTAACGAGGCCCTTAGAGGTAGGCTAATTGAACAGACTCCGGGGCCGGCTTGCTGGGCCTGGGGTCCACTGTTGTTGATTATTATATCTGAGGGAGAGGGAGTGCTGATAGGGGGTTGGTTCCCTCCGGGGCATTGTGTTCCCCATAACTGATGTGTTCCCCATAACTGAGACTGGGTAATGCTCCCAGCTGTTCCACTTCCGGGTAGACTATGAGGACCCCGGCCTCTTTCTCTGATTGGAAATATATATTGTCTTCTTTGGAAAAAAGAGAAAAAAAAAAGAGAAAAAGGAAAAAAGACAGTCACGCTTTGCTGATCGTGCGATGCCAGGCCCATCCGCGATAAGTAGAGCTGTCGCACATCCACTCCTCCTTGAATCCTAACTGAGTATTGCCTTCTTTTGGTGGTTGGGCTCGGTCCCCCCGGGGCCAAGTCCCACTAGCAGCGTTGAGCTACCTCGACGCCTGAATCTGGACGTTTTTGCGGAGATGTGCAGAGATGGTGTTGAGTTTCCTGAACTGCACCTTTCCACAAACACTTCCGGATTCAGGCGTTGAGGTAGCTCCACGCTGCTAGTGGGACTCGGCCCCCGGCCTCGACTGAAAATTTATATTATATTAATCAGGGCATACGCAAGGACTTGTCAGGTTATCTGTGGACCTCATTGTGATCCGATGCATCCAAGCTTGGCCGTAAACACAGTCAAATACATGCGTCTAGAAAAGCCCTCGTTTCGAGAAAGGGAAAAGCTACGCTGGACACGCTGGAATGGTCGGCCAACGGCGAGCTAATAAGAATCGGGCCACCCTGTACCTAGCTGGTGGCGGACTGTACCCACGAATAACGTTTCGAATAGAATAGATGATGACGTTTTTTTTTCTTTTTCTTTTGACTGTACACCCATCAACTGTTGAGCCTTTGGTCCCCCCGAGTGGCATTGAGCAGTGACTGCTGATGTTCATAGGCGGAAGGGACCGGAGGGGAGGCACAGTGACTGGCCCATCGAATAAGCTCGGTCCTGATGCTACCGGCTGACCCCTGGCCGGTATCGCCCACCTGCTGTAGCAGGTATCGCACCTGCTGGTGGGTGCAGCTCCCGCATGTTCCCTCGTTGGAGGCTTGAGCACGGATGTGGCTGCTACGGTGTTCCCCGTAATACTATAATGACAATAAAAAAGGCCTGAAAGGCCGTCCTGTCCAGATTTGACAGGTAATTGAATTGGTTGGGCTTAAAGAATTAGCCTTTTTAAATAAAAAATAAATAAAAAATAAAAATAAAAATAAATGGAGACCGACTGATGGGCCTCTCCACGTGTGTAACATGAGACTGAATCCTAAGCTAGAACAGGGAAAGATACACCGCCATATATATATATATATATTTATATTTATATATACATATATATATATTTGTTTTGTTTTGTGCAGATGGAGAGTGGTGATATTTGCCCAAGTCCAAAAAAAAAAAAGAAGATATTTGCCCAAGTCCCACTTACGCTGATTCTTCATTTCTGGCCGTTGATCTTAATAATCTACAGTCAGAAATTGAGAATTCGGGTAAGTGGGACTTGGCCCCCGATCTCATCGATGACGAGTGTTGGTGCAGGAGCAGAAGCAGCCCGTGGCGCCCAGCTCATTCCAGTCGAAGTCCAGCCAGAGACGACGACAGAGCAGCTCATGGCTTTTGGAAAAAAGCACCGCATTGCACTTCACAAAAACAGTTCAGCCTTTTTTTTTTTTTCAGGCTTCCTTTCTGGCACAGAGACAGAGACTATGGTTGTGCCTGGAGGCGAAGCTTGCCAGAAGGCATCTGATTGGCCGCCCAGATCCGTGGCATGATGGCGACGATCCAGACAGAGCAAAACCGGAAAGGCATTCTTTTTTTTTTTTTTTTTTTTGGGAAAGGCATTCCCGCCTGTAGTAGCAGCTGGTGCGGTGAGGCCCGAAGTCCCCCTAAAGGGGTTCAGTTCAGTCTTTCTTTCGAGTATTTTTCACATCGGCCACACATTCTGGCCGTCAGATCTTCAGATCGGATGGCAGGAACCGATACGTACTCGAAACTAAGTCTAACACCGATGCTGCGTACTCAAATTTAAGTCGAAAACGTCCGCCAAATCTTTTGAATGCATCTGGACAACGCGGGAGCTCAGATGCATTCAAAATGTTGCCGGCTGGCGAGTATTGCAAGCAGGTCCTTGGCGCCGAAGGTTTTTTTTAACACTTGGTTTAGAGTACGCACCGTTTTCCGCCGTCCGATCTGCACATCTCACGGCCGCACCGCATTCTGGCCACGTTGAAACTGCACAAAGGGAGACTAAGGGCCAGATCCCACTAGCCCCTATTGTTCATTCATTTCTGACCGTTGATGCTCCGTAATCGAGGGTGAAAAAATGAATAATCCAGGTTAGTGGGATCTGACCCTAAACCCCGCTCGTGGGACTTGATTACTGTGGCCCCCTACCGTCGTCCCCCGAACATAACGCACCCTTAAAATGAATGAATACAAGTTGTATTTGCGGCCAGATACAGCCAAAATGAGGGTGCGTTGTGTTCGGGGGAAGACGCTAGCCCCCGACTATACGTGGGTTTTTTGGGACATGAGGTTGGGGACGTAAAACACACCTGCGGGTATGGGTGGGGGACAAGCCGTCGGGCTGCCGGCACGACGCAGGTGGTGGTCCCAGATCCGACGCCGCCGAGCTCTACCGAAGCGCGCCGAGGACGGTCTCAACTCTCCCGCGACGCGTTGAATCCAGTCGAGTTTTGCTCCGTGCCAATCTATCTCGTTCGCACGTCAACGTGGCGCTCCCCGGATCGAGATCGCGCTCCCCATCGCCATCCAAGACCCCGTATGCTTCAACAACCGCCCGCACTCTCCCACTCTGCCTGCCTGTCTAAACCGCCGATTGCGAAAGCTGACGTGGCATTCGTCTTCAGAGGGGTTCCTTTCTTGTATGTCTCAGTACGCCATATCTTCCCCGCCCCCTCTCCATCTTCTGCTTGGTTTCAGTTCCCCGCGCTGTGGATTATTCAAAAGCCATGTCACGGAATTAAGGTAAGGACAACAACCATCTCTCTCTCTCTCTCTCTCTCTCTCTCTCTCTCTCTCTCTCTCTCTCTCTCTCTCTCTCTCTCTCTCTGCCTTTCTATACGTATATGGATACATACAGGTTCTCTCTCTCTCTCTCTCTCTCTCTCTCTCTCTCTCTCTCTCTCTCTCTCTCTCTCTCTCTAACACACGCACACACACACACACACACACACCAGTGCCCGACAGAAATTGACAATCAAACTAACAAAACCCCACTGAGTCAGGTGTCATGCAGAAGAAGAAGAAGAAGAAGAAGACGAAGAAGAAAAGGAATCCAAAGAAAGGGACAAACAAAAAATTAGATGAGGACCACCTCGAGCGGCTCTGCGTAAGACACCACACTAGTCGGGACTCTCTACCACCTTCCTCTGTCAGATTCCCCAGCAAACGCGGTGCCGCTATCCTCAGCCGATATCCTATGATCGTTGATGATATTTGGCTTTCTCCTTACAACTAGCTGTGTCTGTCTCCGCCAGCCAGGCTGCTGGACATGCTGGTGCAGCGGGGAAGTCGCATGGCCAGCCTGTCCCCTCTTGATTTGCCAGCTGCAGCAGGTTCAGTATTTGTCGTTCTCTTCCTTCAACCTGGCTGACGTTGAGGTGGTTGTGTTGTACCTCCTCAGCCAACGGTGGGAAGTCACGAGGAGAAAGTGCAGCAGGTGCTGCTGTAGAGTTGGGTGCATGCTGCCACCTTGTTTACACATGTGCGACCTTGTGCCTGTTCTCCACCTGCTGCTGCGCCTGTTCTTGCTGCTGTCGCTGCTGCTGCTGCTCCTGTTTTGGCTGGAGCTCTTGCTGCTGATGCTCCAGAGCCTCCTCCTGCTGCTGCTGCTCCGGTTGTTTCACCTGTTGGGGATGCTCCTCCACATTCTCCTGCTGCCACTGTTCCTCCTTTTGTAGCTGCTGCTGCTGTTCCTCTGGTTGTCTCAACTCGTGCCCCCCTCCCCCTTCCCGCCCCCCCGCCCCCCCCCCCCCCCCCCCCCCGGCCTCACCCAGCCTCGACCCGGATTCCCCTGGCACTACTCTTGGGTAGATTGCGCATTGTTAGGAGCTACTGGAAGAAACCCCATTCTGATAAGCAACACCCTCATGCTACCAGAGCAATCAGCCCTCCTTCTCTTTGGGATTCTTTTCATGGGTGCCCTCCTCACTCCTCTTCTATGTGAAGTGCTCTACCACTCGCGTGTACAATGCCTGGAAGACCGTCCCTCATAGGTAACAGTTAAGCCAATATTGACCGTACCCCCTCGGTTCTGCCTCTTGCCCCCACTGCACCTATCTATACGCTGTTTTTGTCTGCAGCAGACAAAGCAAATCTCACAAATAAGGGTATGAGAGAGAGAGAGAGAGAGAGAGAGAGAGAGAGAGAGAGAGAGAGAGAGAGAGAGAGAGAGAGAGAGAGAGAGGGCAGAGAGAGGGGAGGAGCGGGAGAGAAAGACAGGAAAGGAGTGATGTCGCAGGATACTGCTGTAGTTGATCATAATTGCCAGTAGCACAATTCCGTACCATTGACTTCCTTACCTTAAACAAAACTTATCCCTGATAGCGCAGTTACGGCAAAAAGAGAGAGATGGCTCCCTCAAGCAAACGCGCATCCAAGATAGTGCAGATCTCAATGTCCTACCTCACTACCTGGCCACACACCACGTGCGCCGCAACCCACCATAGCTATTAAGTGTAACGAGAAGAGTTGATGAGATTACATATGAAGAGGCATCACAGCTATTAAGTGTAACGTGAAGAATTGAAGAGATCGCATATGAAGAGCAAGCGGACGAGGATGACGATACACACCCTCCCCAGAACACCCCCGCAACCTTCAGTACTGTGATCGTAGGTCAACTGTCCAGCTCCTTGTCTCAACTCGTGCCCTCCTCCCCCCCCC